TATACTTTTTTTCCTGTAACTGCATGCTTTGGATTCTGTGTTCTCCATTTATTTATGTAGTGTCTAACGAATGATCTGCAGTGTTTATAATTTTGTCTCGCTGTGTGTGATCTGAAAGCATTGTTTGATTTTGAGCAGATAAAACGGTTTGAGGCAATTGTTTGATTCTGCCAGAAGAATCAGAGGTTCTCTGAATGTGGTTTATAAAATTTGGTTTTGTGTGTAAGGTTTTGAGAAAGTGAGTTTCAAGAAATGTGTTTTAGTAATTCATAAAAACGGTATTAGTGCACCATCTTAGTATAGGCTTATACAATCTTTTGCTGGATCCCAATTTGTGTACTTGTGCACTACAAACAGTGCCAGTAGTGCAAAATTCCCAAAAAGAAAATGTGCCCTTCAAATACCCGGACGATGCAGTTAACCAAAAGAAAAAAGTTAATTTGTGTGGAACTATAGACACTTTATGTACTCAGTCTATATCAGACTGACACTGGATGTCAAAATAACAAAACATATAAAATTCTAGACAGCTGGATATTACAAGTACATAGTGCATGTTAATTGGGACTAAATCTTTGATCATACTTTGAAAATCAACCAGAAATTGGGACACAGGGTTGCTGTTGTCAGCTCTGCTCTGGCTCCCTCTAGTGTGATGAACTCACTCCATTATACAATTAACAGAGTTTACACCCACTTTTCAGTTATGTATTAATCAATAATTAATTAATGTTACTCCATAACATCTTCATGTAGTTTTAGAACATGACAAACTTTGCCTGTATGGGCAGAAGTCAGTAAAAAGTAAAAGATTCTTTATAAATACTGGGTTAAAAAAGTTTGTATTGGCACAATACTTAAAAAAAACAATGTTAATATATGAAAAGTGTTTAGTGCAGTTTCAGATAACACTAAATATTGAAAAAATACCAAAGGGTTTTGTTAAGGGTGCCATATGTTACTACTGTATCTGTGACTTAAATTAAATTAATATTAGCATGTCAAGGTCAGTATGGAACACATAACACAAAACACTGGGATTAAGTACACTTTTTCTTGTTGAGGTTTTACATACAAAAAATGCGGTATACAACTTTTTTTTCTGCTGAGCTCAAAGCAAGCATCTTAAATAAGGATGTAAAGACTCCTGCATTGAGCTCAGCTTACACAAACATGTCCAGTCTGACAAGCTGACCCACTAAAAATAACCATAGAGAAGTAACAAAAGGTTTCCATAAAATGACCAAAGACACAAGCTATCCGTTAGCATCATCATTCATATCAATGGCAGTTTCTCAGCTGGAACAGGATTCAGAACAGCAGAAACCGGATGCTGTCTTGGCAGTGGTGACAGACTAAAACATCTTGGCCAGGTTGTGTAGATACATTCAAACTGTTCACACAAATCTTGTGAAAGATTTTGAGCTGTTGCTTAGAAATGCTGGTCTTAACATTACATTTATATTTACATTTATCCAAAACGACTTACAATTGCTATATATGTCAGAGGTCGCACGCCTCTGGAGCAACTAGGGGTTAAGTGTCTTGCTCAGGGACACATTGGTGTCTCGCAGTGGATTCGAACCCAGGTCTCTCACACCAAAGGCATGTGTCTTACCCACTGCGCCATCACCACCCCGCATTAAAGGCATAGTGAAGGCATAATAAAAATTTGGTCCAAAAATCTAACAATAAAATATACAAACGTAGGATATAAAAATGTACACAAAATGAAGTACACAAATATATAGCTAATAATAGGTCTATATATAATCAATATAAAAACTTCAGAGTTTAGGTAATTTTAAAAGAGCTGAAAACAGAGGTTTTTGTTAAGGTTGATGTGTACTGCTACATCAATTTACTTAATTGAGAGAGTAATATGATTCTGTATGTGTGTACATAATATCAGAGGTGGGTAGAGTATCCAAAAACTGTACTCAAGTAAAAGTACAAGTACTTATAGAAATATTTACTCAAAGTAAAAGTAAAAGTAATAATCTTAAAAGTTACTTGAGTAAGAGTAAAAAAGTATCCAATGAAAAAACTACTCAAGTAGTTAGTTACTAGTTACTTTACACATAGGCCTATATATATATATATATATATATATATATATATATATACTGTATATGTAACATGATATTATTTAGATTTTTTTTTTTTCATTTAAATGACTATTATTATCATAATTAGATAAGCTATCTTTGCAACAAAAACAGAAGAGACAAACATTATTTCTGTATATCTGTAGCCTGAAAACCATTGCCTGTCCTTTGGTTTGTATAATAGTATAGTAACTTATACAACTACATTTGGATTATTAGACAATGTCGGAATAAAGCAAGTGGTACTCGATGCAGAGCCAAATAGGAGGAGCTAGAGCTCCAGCTCTTCCCCTCGCTGGAGCTCTAGCTCCACCCGTTTCACCTCATTGCGGTGGACAAAAAATAAACGGGTGCACACACAGATAGTAAGCTTTCACATTGCCTTTTAAGTCTAGCAATTTACATAATCATATAGCAGACGCTTTTGTCCAAAGCGGCTTTAAATGTGAGGAAAACAATGAAACTGTTCAAAGAGAAAATAATATAGATACAAAGTTTCAACAGTTTTTAGAAACACACACACATAGTGTGAGCAATGTTTTTATTAAGTGTTTACGCGTTTGTCACATAAATGATAAATAATTAATCATAATCATGACAAATATTAGAGAAAAATACAATATTATGTATGCCAGCATATTGCGCATCAAAACAAACTTGTCCTTGTTGAACTCAAGGGGGTAATCTATCGACCGGAAGTTGAAGCCGGCCGGGTGCCGTCATCTTGTAGCAGAACTTCACTTGCGTTAGCATTTCCATTGCCATTCATTTTGGCGTCACTTTGACAGCAAATAACTTTACATCTGAGGCGTTTAAAGACTCCATTTGTCCATTATTTATTTCTAAAGAAACACGACAATGTATAAAGGGCTCCATTACCTTCTATGTTACATTATGGCCCCGTAGAAACAGATTTAGTAAAAATAGGCTAACGATTGCGTCATAACCACTCGACTCTCTGTCGCACTGTACAGAAATTACCGTACAGACAGGAGGAGAAGCTCGCAGGCAATCGGGGACGTCCCGTCAAGGGAGAAGCCCATAGATAATGAGTCCATAAAAGCAACGGAATACTTACTCCTGCTCACTCACGCCAAAGAACTCTTTGCTCAAGTTCCCCGTCTCTGCAAGATTAACGTTGGCAATTTTCACGCACAGCTACTAGAAGATTAACGTCTGTCAGACAGGTTGCTCACGTCATCAAGCTTAGTTTGAGTCGGTTTGAGTCTGCGCGTCAGGAACAGAAGTGCTCAAAAATCGCTAAAAATGGGCTTCAACTGTCTCAACTGAGTTCCAATGAGATGGCTCTGTCCACTTCTTATACTGTCTATGGTTGAACTCGCACAAGGCTTGATAGCGCGTCATGTTCTGTCCACTAGATCCAGCGAGGGTGAGCTAGAGCTCTAGCTCCTCCCATTGGACGCTGCAGCGAAGCCCCACCCACTAAATCTACATAGGTGGAGCTGGAGCTCCAGAAAGGGTGGAGCTGGAGCTCTAGCTCCTCCCATTTGGCTCTGCATCGAGCACCATCTCGAATAAAGTGACTCTATGGAGTTTTGCATTTAAGGGATGGGAACCATTGACAGATTAGAAAGTGTTAAAACTCTGCACATGTGCTCGCAGTCATGTCATGCCCAACACAAACAACGATCAAATACAAGGATCTTCTTCTGTCTGTTCTCCAAAATGTATTTAAATGTAGGCTATATTTATGAAAGCATCTTTAAACTGGTTAACTGTGTCTCATAAGGCAGGCAAAGGCATTCGTTTTCAAGTCGAGTTCGCACGCCACTGCGCAATACACACTCATTGTGTGTGTACACACATTCATAAACGGGACGAATGACGATGATAGCTTATTTAATGTATAAAGTAATGTAACTTATATGTCCAAAAAAAGGGTAATGCCTTTGTAGTAGTGCTATATGGCGTAATAATCTGTTTGGTTGTAAAATGTATTACCTGAATGAAATCGAATGTATCGTCGTGTGGAATCATTCATTCACAGACAGCTTACGAAGTAACATACGAAGATGTTCAAGTTCAACTAATAAAGATCTTCATCGCTGGCAAAAAATATGATGCATTTGCAGATTTACTTTCTAGACTGTGTAGACTGTGGACCGCCACTTCATACAACGCTCTTGATGTTCTTAAATCTTCCTGTTACGACTCCGAGACGATCCAGTGCGTGCAGGAAACTGAACAGATCATTCAAACTGATTCGCGAACCGATTTAGACAGATCTGCCCAACTTGTTTGATGAAGTCTTTGAACAGAATCGACTCAAAAGAGTGATTCATTTGTGAATTGAGCATCGCTCATGCCCAGAAAAAAGAGAGAGCGCGCGCTTAGAATAAACTACTCTTTTAACAACATTGCATTAAAATAAAGTAACGAGAGGAACGTCGCCAAACGTAACGAAGTAAAAGTACAGTTTTTCATTAGAAATCTACTCGAGTTAAAGTAAAAGTGCACAATTAAATCTACTCTTAAAAGTACAAATTTTCCAAAAAACTACTCAAGTAAATGTAACAAAGTAAATGTACTTCGTTACTACCCACCTCTGCATAATATACAGCATGTATACAGCTGACAGTTAAAATGTCAAATAAGGGTGGAAAGATTCCGGTAATAGAGTTGAGCTTGTATGAACACGTCTTGTCTAACATGTAAACATCTAACCACAGAACAAGTTAGAGCAGGATGGAAGGTCATTGTGGGATTCAAATGGGTGACAAACACTGAGCTGTGATTATTCACAAATATTTCAATGGCAATGGAAATTCTATAACATGGAATGTTAGTGCAAGCTATAGAAAATCCTGATATCGGGAATGCTGATAAAATCCTGATGACACTGAAGCTCAGGATTTTATTTAAGTCTGAACAACTGTTCATAACTCTGCAAATCTATCCTTATGGTCTCTTAAGATGCACTTGAGCCCACACACAGCAACTTTCTCTAAAATGAGTTACTTGAAAATTACATGGCAGTGTAATATTAGTCGCAGAAAATACTGAGAGGAATGTTTCAAGTAAAATACATACAGTATTTTTAACATGGACATACACTGAAAATGTCACGTTACATTAACAATCGAGTATATGATGTGGTCCTCTCCATTAGCCTTCTGAAAGAAAACAAAAGATAGGAATTAAAATGTTTAAAACGAAAAACTGTGTTTGTGTGTGTGTGTGTATATATAATGTATATCACACACACACACACACTTTTTATAATTTATAAAAATTTTATTATAAGTTAATAATTTTATTATAAGTTATAGTTATCATTAACAGACTGTTGGTGTGTGTCTGATATATATATATATATATATATATATATATATATATATATATATATATATATATATATATATATATATACCATATTTACACACCAGCTCACCAGTTCATGTTCTTGTAATCCTTCAATATAAAATATTGTTGCTGGAATAAAAAAAACGTGCTGCAACTGAAACAAAAATACATGCAAATAGAAAAAACATCATACTAAGAAAACTAGTCATCAGTCTGACAACACGTGCTGCAATTACTAACAACGCATGCAAATACAGAAATGAGTATTTCCAGCGTGTTTCTGTACTTGGTTGCGTTGTGTGAGGATTTGCAGCACATGTGTTGCAACACTGATGATGTTTTCCTAATTTGCATTTGCGTTTCTAAATTATTTGTTTTCTTCAGTTGCAGCGCATTAAGATCTCTCGGCCACTGTAATAAAAAAAACTATAAATCCAAATTCAACTCAAGGACAACGGCTGAATAATTTTTTTTTTACAAGCACAGGACATGAGAGCGGCAAAACATGATATTTTAGTAGATTGTGAAACAGACTTACTAGACTTACTAATATTTTCTGCCATAACGGGGTGCCTTCAGTATTGCTTTTGCTATTTAAATGACTTTTTGGGGGATTTTTTGTCTAATTAACAACATTATAATTTTTTCGTTGTTCAATGTTAATCACTGGTGGAGCTGCACAAATGTCAACTGGTGATTCCTAATCCTTTAATCTTGGTATAACTGAAAACCTCCACCCTCCCTAAAGCCTACTGAGCCTGAGAGATGAGAGCACATGATAGTATGTTGAATTGCAAGTTTCTAAAGTTGTCTGATATGGTTCTGTGCCTTGAGGCTGTGTAAATTTGAAACCTTAGCATGAAAAGTGCAAGCAAATACAGACATTAAGCAAAATGGAGCTCTTTAAAGCGCTTGAAAACAGCTTACTTGTCTTAGGCCACATTTTGCGCGGATAAAGTACGAACGCTAACATCAGCACAGGATGACACAGCTACTGCTTTGACACATAAGCACAAACAGCTCTTTTCTTAGCGCCTGTGGTAAAAGCTGTGGTTTCTGCACACAGTCAAACACTCTTACCGTACTGTGAACACTGCGTGCACGAAATGTTGTTTCGGCATAAAGTGCCTCTTCCTCACAAGACTGGACTGTTTTAATGATAATAATAATCACATTTTCAAACTACAAAATAAGTCTGAAATACTGTTTTAAAAACAGATATTGAGGCACATCTTAATTTCACTGAATGAACCCTGAATGTTCATATCTTTGATGAAAAAAGTAATACTTGCCCTTTTGTGTTCCTGGTTTACTCTTCGTTCTGAGAAAGATTATTGCCGCCACAACTAATACAGCCAGAATCACTAAACTAACCGATTTTCCCACCCAATGTGACGGCTGCACGAGTTCTGTAATGAACAAACAGAAAAAAGTAATAATTAATGAGTCCTGCAATGTTTGCATCTCAGTTAATACGTCTCTGTCTGTTGGGAATCTGTTTAAAACTAAATCTAAAATCATTAAATTATCAATAATATCAGCACTGCAGTACCTGCACATGTGTGACAGAGTTGTGTGTTGTCCAGATGTGTGGTCTGGTTTCTGACAGGATTGTTGATCACACATCTATAGGTGTTTTTATCCTGATATTCCACCTCCAGAGGTAGAGAGAGACTGATGCTGAGATCAGACGCACTGATGCTGGACAATACACTGATTCCTTTGAACCAGGAGAGAGTCACATGACTCACATTCAACACTGAACACACCAGTGAACATCTGGACACTGATGAACGTTCAGATGATGATGATGATGATGAACAGTTTGAAGAGTTTCTGGTGATGACAGGAATCTGTAGAGGAGCTGGAAAACATGGAAATGATTCAGGTCAGGAGCAGAATGTTCAATTAATAATCATCCCAGCAATCATAAAACATAAACATCTGTATATCTCCAACCCTCAATCCCCTACACCAGCCCACTATCTAGATTTCTTGATCAACACTTAATTTTACTCACCATAGACAGTAACACTGAAACTTTTGTGTGTGATATTTCTGCTGAAGATGCTCAGTTTATAAAGTCCAGAGTGTGTGGTTCTGATGTTTCTGATGGTCAGAGATCCAGTTTGACTGTCCATCTGGAGTCTGTCTCCAAATGTCACATTACTGTCATACATATCAATGCTCTGCTTATGGATTTCAGCTATACGAGTCTCTGAACTGTCATGTCTATAAACCCACAGTATCTGATCATTTCTCTGTACTTGAACATCAGTGTTTAGAGTGACAGAATCTCCCTCAGTCACTGACACTGACTTCACTTCATCTGTACCAGCACCAAACACACCTGAAACACAAATATACAATTTTTTTTTTTTTTTTAATACAGTTTTAGAGAAAATGACATGGCAAAAACCTACGGTTTCCACAGTTCACTAACTCAAACACACGCCCATAATAATATACCATTATAAAAAAAAACATGTTTGTTTATAATTTGAACACCATTTCTTCTGGAACTGAACTGCAGTCAGTTGTTTACTCTTTCACAGAGGATGATTTCCAGATGTTGTTGAGCAAGGCTGAACTCAAACATGTTGACACGAGTATGCCTTTTTCCCCCCTGAAGATTTTTTGTTGGTTGGAAGTTTACCACTTATTTCGCAATTCCTCCTCCACCCTTACTAGTTTTAGGCTTGCTTCCCTTTTAGCAATCAACTTTACTGGTTTGTTGATCCATGGCATTCTACCAGATTCAATGTTATCTATTCTGCTTGTCCCAGTTACTAAGGACAAAGCTGGAAAAGTTGGCTGCCTAGATAATTATAGACCTATAGCATTGGCCAGTATCTTGTCCAAGGTAATGGAAAGAATCCTCCTTGATAGAGTGAGTGGGTATATCTCTTCCCTGGATAATCAGTTTGGATTTAAGCCAAACCATGGCACAGACATGTGTATTTATGCTCTGAAGGAAATAGTGAATTTGTATAAGGCTAAAAATTCCACTATCTTCATGTGTTTTATTGATGCCTCCAAAGCATTTGATCGAGTGAATCACAAACAGCTTTTTATTAAGCTAAAGCAAAGGGGAGTGCCTGGGTATATTGTGAGGGTTCTTGCCTATTGGTATACCCACCAGCAGATGCATATCAAATGGGGGGGGGGGGGGGGGGCACCTTTAGAGTGTCCAATGGTGTTAGGCAGGGAGGAATCTTGTCCCTAGTTTTATTTAATTTATATATGGATGAACTGTCAAGGAGACTTAATGGTTGCAACACTGGCTGTATGATTGGTGGCATGCTGGTGAATCATATCATGTATGAAGATGACCTTGTTATTTTTAGTCCGAGTAGTGCTGGGTAGCAGGAGCTTCTTAATATGCTCTAAATATGGGGTAGAATTTGATATAAAATATAATTCCAGCAAAAGTGCTGTTTTAATATGCAGAACGAAACAGGATGAATGGCTTAATTTTCCTGTATTCATGCTAGCCAGTAATTGTCTTGAGGTCCGCAAAAAGATTAAATACCTTTGTCATTGTATTACAGATGATATGAATGATGATGATAACATATACAGACAGTGTTATAAGTTATATGCACAGGCAAACATCATAGCATAGCACGTAAGTTTAGTTACTGCTCTACTCAGGTAAAAGTGGCTCTGTTCAAAGCTTACTGTACACCACTTTATACTGCCCATCTTTGGTCGTCTTATAAAAAATCCAGCATGCAGAATTTAAAAGTTGCCTACAATGATGCAATGAGAATTTTACTCAAGGTTCCTAGAGGAGGGAGTGCTAGTCAGATGTTTGTATCTGTAGGAGTAATCACACTGAAAGCACTTTTAAGAAATTTGATGTTTAAGTTTATGCAACGTCTGGATGAGTCTACCAACAGTATCATGGTGGCACTCTCAAATCCCTTAGTGAGCTGCTCCAGGTACACATCCAGACTGAGAGTGCATTGGCTGAAATGTCTGTATGTATTTTAATTCTTGTAGGCCCATTTGTTTTTGTTTTTTTGTTGTTGTTATTTGTCTTGTCTTGCGTGGTTTTTGGACATGAGTCTGGCAAATAAACTAAACTAAACTAAACTAAACTAAACTAAACTAAACTAACATTGAAAATACCGAAAATGCATTCATTGTGTGAAAATATATAACATATCTACTTTGGGGAGTGAAACCACATTTAATAAAAATTAAAACACTTACCACGTGAGAACCAAATCCACAGACAGAAGAAAAATGATTTATGAATCATATTCCAAATTCCCTACATATCCGAGCCACCCAAAAAAAAAAAAAAAAAAACTCCTCGTGATTTAGAGCTCGTTTGTTTGATTGATGAAATCCAACAATGCGTTAAGAGCATTTCTATCCGCTTTTCTCAAATCTGTGAAAATCGAATAACTTCAAGTAATCCAACGTCTAAAAGACCATTTCGAAAAATTAAGTTATTAGTAGCTTAGGCCTACTACTAAAATCTGAATTCTAGCTTCTGAAAGCGGGATACACAAAAGCGTTACAATGAGGATGGGCTCCAGCTGATATAAGAACAGCACATATTCTTGACTCATCCACCCGTTTAACAATTAACGTTTTACCATTTAAAAAATGTTTTGCGGAAAATTAAATACATAAAAAGAAATAGGCTACAGAACCCAAAACGCTACTTCATGATTTCCGTTTCAGACTTCAGGATTTCAGCCCCGCCCCTTCAGGGTCTCCCAAAGTCTGAGTCTTCAGTTCAGTAGTAGCAGCTAGGCGTCTTTACAGTAACTATAGTAGGCCTATTAGAGGAAAATCAGCGCTTTCACAAGCGTTTTCGACACAAACAGGATGAAGACTGTGAGTTGGGACTGTTATGAGGGTGTTATAGTGCAGATGATTTTGCATGATTATGTTACTTTGATCTACTTGCGGTTTGTTTCTCTTCTAAAAGCTTTTCAACTCCTTCCTGTCATTTTCCTCTCAGAAAAAATAATAATTTCAGAATACATCAACAGCTCTATATAACTAACAGCTGACTGTAAACATTTTTCCAGCTTACATCAGTCTCTAATCTACCAAATATGACAGTTTTTATTATTTGCATATAACACATTACAAAGCTGCTGCTTAGCTAATAAATCACAGAGTCGGTTAACAGGTGTTTTAATCTGAAAAGACAAGGAAATGTTGGCATTATGATGTTAATGTTGGCGTTTAACAGCTTATAGCACACCCTGCAGCCCAAGAGGCCATTGAAATACAATATGAGATGTTAAATCAGTGTACAAAAGCTAGGCTAAACTTATTGAATAGTTGATGTCATTTCACTTCTATAGCCACTAGTTCACAATATCAAGAGATTTTCTGACACTTTGGGTTTTGGTTGGCCACTATTTCCTGTACAGCAATCTAGTTAAGTTGAAAAGAAGTGTGTGTGGTAAATGTTTGTGCATGTGGGAATAATGGAGAGCACTATTCCTGTGTCTAGCATTCTTTTAGGAAATTCAAATGACACATTAAAAATGATGTTCTTTTGAATACCATCAATAATGTTCTTAGTCTGCAAATTCTGATTCACAAAATCATCTGCACACATGCATGTTGTATTGTTGGAAATGTAATACAAATATTCAGAGTTTGTTCATTGTATTCAGTCTAATCTCAGTCGACTCATTGTTCTCACTGAAGGTAACATAAGGTCAAGGTCAGCCATCATCCTCAATGCAGCCTTTCATGACTTACATGACTTTCAAGTTCATGTAAGAGTTTCCTTCAGTTATATTTTCTCACTTGTAGCTTCTTCCGCTTCTTTCCATTCTTAGCTCAGTTCTTTGCATTTTTCGTAACTTTAGTTCTGTTCAAATCTATAGCCAGTCATTTTTACATGTTTTTTGGTAAAAGTGAATCTGAACAGCTTGGTCTGTGTTAATGTATACATATGATGAATTATGTTGTTTTAACGTAATGCAACACATTTTTTTGTTTAAGTTGCAGGCCGTGAGTTCGTCTGCAGCCCTTCACCCACATACAGCGTTTCCAGCACCTTCTGCTCATATCTCCAATAATAGACATCCGTACCACATCTCACCAAAGACCACATACACGTACATCTCATTCTGAGCGGAACAGGTAATGAATGTGTCACAGTGCATGAAGCTTCTCGCATTCAGTCTGTGCGTTAAACAAATACTTGTGCACGACTGCAAAATAGAAATAAGTACCAAAATAAGAAATATTGTGTTGTAATATTTCACTATAAAAGACTAACACTGAGAACGTGCATCCATTCAATCCTTTAGAAATCTAAAAGAACACTTTTCATTTATATTTATTGATTTATACCATTTTGTTTGCTTTTTTTCTGCAACTCAAACACCTGTATTTATAATACTTGTGAATATTAAAGTGGTCA